CCAACTGAGCCACCGAGGCTCAGAAAGAGCCTCAGAAAGAGTATTTTATACAGCATCAGAAGCGTAATACCAAAATTAACAGTACCATACAGAACTGGAGTCTAGATTTTCTTTAGACTTGATTTTTTAGGGCACCTGGGTGGCTCGGTGGGTTAAGCCTCTGCCTTCAGCTCAGGTCATGATCTCAGGGTCCTGGAATCGAGCCCCATGTTGGGCTCTCTGCTCAGCAGGGACCAAGATTCCCTTGCCCTCTCCCTCTGCCCCTCCCCACCCCATCTGAAATAAATAAATTTTTAAAAAATCAAGTCTTTTTTTTAAAGATTTTATTTATTTATTTCACAGAGAGAGAGATCACAAGTAGGCACAGAGGCAGGCAGAGAGGGGGGGAAGCAGGCTCCCCGCTGAGCAGAGAGCCCGATGTGGGGCTCAATCCCAGGACCCTGAGGTCATGACCGGAATTAAAATCAAGAGTTGGACATTTAACTAGCTTCAGGCACCCCTTAAGATTTTATTTTTAAGTAATCTCTACACCCAACTTGGGGCTCGAACCTATGACCCCGAGATCATTCTCACCTGAGCCAGCCAGTCACCCCCATAGTCCAAACTGAAGGATGTGTCCTATTTTGCCAAACAACCAACTAAAGAGATTGGACAACGGTAGATAACTTCTACTGTGATTTCAAATTTCACTGGAGGTGAGGTTGTTGATATTGTGAAGCTACGAGGCTTGCATAGAAAAAATTACCTAGTTCAACTTGGGAGGAAGTATTTCTCGAGGTACGATGAGAGCTATCAGCGACAGCAGACGCCCCCTTGCTCTGCCGACTGGCAGGGCTGTTTGATCTTCGAGGACTACTGAAGTGAGGGAACGCAGGAATAATTATTGAGTCTTGTAGGGCTGAAGCAGTATAGTGGGATAATTCTTCTAGGATATTTGTTACACAGGGTAGTTTCATGATAAGCAAATTCTTCCCAGGGGGCCAACATGCCTATGGCCAATTCTAGCAGTTATCATACCTAAAGCCCTTTTGGTTCTATGGGGACTGTGGGGTGTGTGGGCAAGAAGATGGACAGATGGGTTTTTATGAATCCTAGCATGCACTGCCTACTGACCCAGGCATTGTTAATGCATTTGAAGGGTAGGTTTTGGCTAGTTATTTTTCCACAGGGGTTTGCCAGTATGGGAAGGTAATTAAGGGGCTGCCGTGGGAGCACAGCAAGACTGACTGGCTCCTGCATTATTGTCCAGCGTGGTGCTACTGATGACTGGGAAGAAGAACTGGCACAGAAGGAAGATGGGGTCGTGCAATGTAAGGTTTATCGAGGTCACAGGAAGGCTAGAACCTAGCCCTGGTTTGATTAGAGCAGAAGCTCTTCCAAGAATTCCAATGACAGGGCTTTTTATGAATCATTCCCCTGCAGATTAGTAAACCCAAGCATTGGTGGTAAGTTTCATGGTTCATCTTCTGCTCTGGGATGACCTGGCAGAGGGCGGCAGCATTAGGGCAGGTGCACGAGATGTGGCTGCAGCTTGACAGACTGTAGTGAAAGGTGAGACTTACATCTGTAGGGACCACGCTAGGTCCCAGGTGGGCATATCTTACACAAGAAATGAAATTATGGGCACGAAGAACGTCAAAACAGGGAGAGGAGGTTAAAGCAAACGGGGTTAGGGTACTTCTGGGGTGGAGGAGCAACGGTGCTGGGTTAGAGGCATTGCACATGATCTTAGTCTGCGGACGACGTGACTGCGCGGAGAGGAGTGAGGAGGGAGGATTTTGTATTCGGTTGGAGCGTGTGTCGTGACATGCCCAGCAATTCTTAAGGGGGTCGTCCTGGGCTATGGCTTGGAGAGCTTAACAACAGAGCTGGTATTCCAATCAGAGGGGGTTCCCTCTTTGATGAAACATAGTCGTAGAGTATTGTTATCTGGTTTTTCATCTTGAATGTGTATAGGAACTGAGAACAAAGGGTAGAGACTCGGGGAACCTGGGTGGCTCAGTCAGTTAAGTGTCTGCTTTTGGCTCAGGTCGTGATCTCAGGGTCCTGGGATCAGGCCCAGTGTCAGGCTCCCTGCTCAGCAGGAGCCTGCTTCTCCCTCTCCCTGCACTGCTCCCCCTGCTTGTGCTCTCCCTCTCTTTCTCTCTCTCTCTCAAGTAAAAGAAAAAGAAAATGCAATAAAAACCACAATGAGATACTACACACATCAAGACCGCACAAATGGATTAAAAACAAAAACTGACAATCTGAGCGCTGTGTGGCTCCCGGGACTCTCACGTGGCCGGGGAATCTCAGGATGGCACGTCACTCGGGAGAAGGCTTGTTAGTCCCTAACAGAAGTCAACACGCACAGCAGCAGAGGGAAAACCTTTTCCCTCCCGCCTTCTAGGTTCTCTCAGACTCTGCAACAGAAGACTGACAAGAAAACAAGGGAAGTTTATTAACACGTCTCAAATGTACCCAGGGGCGGGGAACTCAGCAGGGAGCCAGAACTTGCACTTCTGTAGCATCTTAACCTGAAACAACAAAAATTTTCAGAGACAAGAGACAGACCAAGGGAAGGCCACTGGGCTTGCAGGACACAAACTGCCGGAAGGTGCCAATGGCAGACAGAGGTGGGTCACGTAGACCCCTCCAGTGTCACCGCCAGCCTAACAGGGCTCTAGGGTGGTCCCGGTGGTTAACTTCTACACAAACTCATGTCCTGCTCTTCGGGCAGGCTGGAGAGCTTCTCTTGTGTCCGCTTATTCTCAACTGCCTTCAGCTCCAGTTAAACCCTGTGCCAAAGGGTGGCAGATTCTGCCATCTTTCCATACCCTGCAGATACCCCAGCAGTTTGCCTTTCAGGTGTCCTCTAAGAGGAATGAAATCATGTGTCAATATAAAGATGCAGAAGAGCGTTGCCAGAAGCCTCACTCACAATCGCTAAAAACTGGAAACAGCCCAAACCTCCAGCCAGGGATGAAGGGGTCACGAGCAGCACACCCATCTATGCTGCACTAGGAGTGCAGGCATTGGGGCACATGCTCAAGGAGGCTCCCACCAAAGGAGACACAAGGTAAGAGGAGCTTCTGGTGCAGCAGGAAGAATGCTCCCTCCCAACCAGCAGGTGCAGAAAAAGGGCCTCCCCGGCCTGGGCTGGTGTCTGCTGCCCTACTGTCCAGCACTGTGCAGAGCGACCCTCTTCAGGTGGAAGAAAACCCAGTCACATGCTTCCATTCCCCAAAAAATGCGCAGCGTGTGCCTGGGGCTAGAACAGATCTGAATGAGTACAGCTTTATGGGTTTACCAAGTGGGTTTCAGGTGGTGAGACAAATTTGGGGCTGGAAGTGGTGGACAACAGTGGCGGAAGGTGGCAAACAGACTTGGTGGGTGAAGAGACAGGATGAGGCTGGAGAGCGGTAAGCGTCACGTGACAGCGCAGGCTGTGGAGAACACATGAAGGATGGTGGACGGTAGGCAATGGTGGAGCAGGTGGTGATGCAGGAGGGTGGATGGTGGTAGTCTAGTGGTGGAGGAGGGGATGGTGGTAGTCTGATGGTGGAGAAGGGTGGACAGTGGGTAGCAATGGTGCAGGAGGGTGGATGGCTGGTGGTGCATGATGGGTGGAGGGTGGTACACGGTGATGATGGGTTTCTGCTCTTGGTAGGAGATGGTATCTCGTCCTGGCATGAGTAACTCATTCTTCACCATGTCATCCCCATCTCCCCCCACCTCATCCTCCACTAGGACGACCCCCACCATTTTCCAATCCTGTGTATGTCCCAGCACCCACCATCCACCTGGTGGTGCAGACCCATAATGAGGAGTCATCCTGGACTTCTCCCTTCCCATCAGCCTCCACATCCAACCGATGAGGCCAACCAATGACGCCTCTAAGTGAAGTCTGCAGTGCGCGATCCACAGCGAGGTGAAGACTTGCGACCCTGGCTGGCTGCAGGTGTGAACGCCAGGCGAGCCCTAACAACTGTCCGGCTGGTCTGCACCAGTTCGTTCAGCTGAAGACGTGCCTACAGGACAGGACGGTGACATATCCCAGCACACCCAGAGAACAGGCTCCCGCACCTGTTAAATGCACTCAGACATGTTTCCTTCTGACTGAGAATCAGCCGAGGAATCCCACAAAACTGTGGAGCTCCAGGTTTAGCCCCGAGACTGTGGGTCTACCAGCATGGACAGGGGCTGGGTCCTCCGCAACAGAGGACAGAGGCTGAGCCTGAGTCATCGCTGCGGGAGCAGTCCCAAGTCAGAAGGCAGAGGCATGCTTAAAAGCCTCCTGGTGTTGGGAGTGCATTATCGGAGCCCCATGCAGGTGGTGGTGTACGTGAATGCCCAGCGGAGCCCACACCCAGGCACCTTCTTGTTCGCAGGCTCTGCTGTCCCACCCCGCTTCTCCCTCTCCAGGAGCACCCCACTGGCACACTCACACCTCTCACCTCAATCTGTCCCAATCCCCATGGAGGGCTGTCAAGAGTCATGGACAGGTGAGGTCTGGGGATTTCGAGGGGGGTGTCCTCTGCACACTGACCCCTTAGAGAAGTCACCTGGGAATAGGTCTGGTGGTCACTGTAACCTCACTTTGAAGGAGAACTCTGAAGCCCTTCTTCCACGTGAGCTCGTGCCGTGAAGTTCTCTACACGTTGACGGGGCTGGGGGACACTCAGGCAGCTCATTCCCACTACAGGGTGCTCAGGAGGCCCATCCAGGACACCGGGGCTCAGGAGGTCCATCCAGGGCATGGGGAGCAGAGGGTACTCAGGAGGCCCGTCCAGGGCACGGGGGGCTCAGGAGGCCCATTCAGGGCATGGGGGACACCACTGCCAGGCCAGCCAGGTACCCACTGCCGCCTCCTAGAGCTGCTCAGCGCATCCAAAAAAGCCGGGGTGAGAATGTTCTTGGGCTCAGGGCAGAGAGCTGGGAGGAGATGCCACACGCCCGACAGAATGAGGCCCCGCCCAAAGAGGCAGAGAGAACAAGACAAGACCCATCTCAGTACCCACCTATGATGGAGTCCCTGCGGAAAACATCTCTGTCGAAGACATAAAAGGACAGGTGCCGGAAGCTCCGAGGGATCTCGCAGTAGAAGTCTTCTCCATAGAAGGGGCTGAGAAGCAAGCAGAACGGACCCCATTAGGTGGGCTGGCCGGTGTGGGGTGGCCCACTGAGCACCAGCCTCGGGTGCACACGCAGAATCACGCTCTCACATGTGTCAGCAACATGCCACGCCATATCTCACGTGTGCGATGTGGAACTGTGGTTTGCTTGCTGGGGTGCAAATGTGGTCCCCACTGTCGGCCCCAAGGCCCATCACCCGGAGTGATCAGCTGCGGGCAGAGAGCTCCGCGCAGGGAGCAGGAGTCTGCTGTGTGTGTCCAGGCTGGACCCAACACTCCAGGACCACGAGGACACGTGGGACATGCGGGCGGGCCTCACTTCATGCGCGTCCATCAAACTTGGCTTGCCAGGTGCAGACCCTGCTGCTCTCCTTCCCCAGAAGTCGGGCTGAAATCTGCACCTGTCACTGGGGAGAGGACCCCTGGCCACGGGTTGACCCTCCACACAGCATCCCTGTGCATGGAGACCCAACGTGAACCACAAACCCCAGTCAAGGTCAATAAACAGGCCCCTAGCTGCTCGGCTGGGCCAGGCCGAGTCTGCATGCGAGGTGTGCAGAGAGCAGACCTGCTGAAAAGGGCAGGGCCCCCGACCGGCCGCAGCTGGTTACAGGATGGCCCGCCACTCCCTGCGGCACCCACTGACCCTACCCGCTCCCACACACGCCATGGCCAAGGTCCGAAGTCGGGAAAGCTAACGGGGTATGCTGTGCTGGTTAGGGGAGGAAGAACGCACAGTCCTGGCCGGGCTGGATAACAGCGGAGAAGGGGACAGTGTGCTGCCCGGCCATGGAACCCCCCTGCGAGGGACACGGATGGCGGGGCACTCCAGCCCGTGTCTGGTCAGTCCTGAGACGACTCTCCCCACCACGTCTGAGCATCTCTGAGATCAGAGGGCGCACCGCGGTCAGCGTCAGAAAGCACTGTTCTTTCTCAAGGGCCCCAAGGCGACGGGGCCTCTCCATCTGACCAGTGCCACGGCCCCACAGAACAGTGTTCTTGGTGCCATGACATGAGGTCACCCATGTGTCTGCCTTCCACCACCTGCCTCAGCAGCAAAGAGTCCGCTCTCTTCAGACACAGGCACGTGATCTGTCAAAATCACCAGCTGGTACCGCACACGCGTCTCGACTCTGTCCCTCGGGATCAGCTCAGCAAGGCCCGGTGAGCCCAGAACGGACAGAGCATGTGGACCCTTCCTGGGGCCCGGAGGAGGCACCGCCCATGAGGAAAACAGACGCAGGACACGGGCAGGCCTCCGCCCGCCCTCCACGGCCCAGATGGGCTGCTGGAGTCCCAGCCCGGGCTCGTGTGGCCAGGCAGGGAGAGGGAGCCGAGCGGAGGGGCTGGGTGCATCCCTCACCAGGCAGTGGCTGAGGAGGGTGGCCCGGCCTTCGAAATACGGAAAAGGCAGAGCAGTCATCTCCCCGTCAAGAGGCAACGTGTCCACAGTCCGTGGCCGTGCAGGCTGACCTGTGGACAGACAGGGGCACGGAGTTGCCGCGGTCACCCTGCCTCCTCTGGCCAGTAGCTGAGGGCTGGCCTGGGCGGGTGGGGACAGAGGACGTGAACCGTCACTGAGCAGACTGCCTGAGCCCACCTGTCGGGACACAGCGCCCAGCACTGTCCAGGTGGGGACCGGCCGGGTGGGAAGAAGAGTCAATGGTGGCCCCTGAGGGCCTGGGGCTGTTGGGGTGCCGGAGGGAATAATCCAGAAGCACGTGAGGCAGGCAAGGGTCTGGGGTCCTGAAGGACCAGGCCATAGTGAGTTGGACAACAGCCAAGGGGAAGGCATTTGAGCCACTAGGGAGCTGCCGTGCGGCAAAGCAGAGCGTGTTAGACCCGGGACTGCGTCTGGAAACACCGGACAGCTGCGTGTGTCCCGCTCACTCACTGAGCAAGACTACAGCCAGGGGTGGGGTGGGGGGGACCCTGCTGTCCTGAGGATCCAAGGGTGCAGAGAGTGCCATGCCACCAAGCCATCATCACGCAGACGTCACCACTGCCCTCGCAGGCCTCACACGGAGGCCACACACCCACACATTTCTGTCTGTCCGGGCATAGGCATCTCTAGGGAAAGCCACGTGTGAATCTGTCTGAGCTCTCTCCTCTCACCTCCCGGGACCCTGTCCGGGTGTGTGGGGCTCTGCTCGTCTACTCTCCACTCGGAGCCAACCGTAATTCGCTCGGGCTGCAAAGCAGAACCACTGGGACGGGGTTTTAGAAAACACAGGTCCCTGGGCCTCACCCCAGACAACCCTCTCCGGGGTTTACTTCCTTTAATTGCACAGCCACACGGTCAACACGACCTGCAAGGTCATCGCAGTCTCCAGATCATCCTGTGTTACGCATGGGCCGCACACGGATTGTCTTCAGAGACACAGAACCCCAACCCATACCCTCAGATGTGCCACTAGGGGCAAGGCTGCCCCCAGAGGCCACAGGACACAAAGGTGGCACCTGAGCCCAGAGGAGAGAGCCAGACCACAGGGAGTCACCGCCATGCGAGTCGTGGCAGCAGGACGCCCAGCCTTGGTGGCAAGCACATGCCCTGAGGGGCCGACGGAGTCCCAGACACAGTACGGGCCTGACCTCGCAGGCTGTGTCTGCGGACGCCCGCTCCCCACGGACCACACCTCGTCCCTGCCCCCCTCAGCGAGGTGCCCCAGGAAGACAATGCTTCCCTGGGGCCCTGACTCATAATCACACTCAACGGCCTGTTCCTAGAACCTCCCTAGGCTGCCTTACTCCTTCACGATCTCAACTGTTTGCTTAAAAAAAGGAACATGCACGAATAAGAATGTTTCCTATAATGTGTAACTAGAAATAAGGGTGACAAGTGTGAGATGTGGCGAAGTTGGAGCCTGCAGGACACACAGCGGTGCGGCCACTCGGCAACAGCAGCGCTTCCCTGAAATGGCCAGAGCGGGGGGGGGACGCACATCCCCACAGACAATGCGGCCCGCGAGCTGGCGGCCCTGCTCACAGCAGCTGAGCAGCAGCAGCAGCCCCTGTGTGCGTCAGCAGAGCCAGCGCGGATGAACAAAGTGGGGTCCGTCAACCCGGACAGCGTGGAGCTCAGACGCCTGCTGTCACAGACGAACACTGAAACCACGGTGCTCCGTGAGACAGGCCACAAAAGGCCACACACAGTGCGACTCCACGTTCCCCCGAAAAGGCAAGTATGTAGAGAGAAAGAGGCCGGAGCCGCAGGAAACGGGTAGTGAAGGGTCACGAAAATACTCCAAAACTGATGGCTACAGCTCCAAATGTACTGAAAGCCACAGAATTACACATCTGCTATAGTTACTTACAGGGAATGTGAATCAGATCTCAATAAAGCCATTTTTTTAAAACCAAAATTTTAAAAATACATAAGGATGTCAGAAAGTGAAAACCAGAATTAACATTACAGGGTATATGTTAGATTTTTTTCTCTGAAGACCTATGAATACAGAACACAAGTAGATACAGATGGAAATACATATTTTTACAATAAAAGTAGGATCCCGGGGCGCCTGGGTGGCTCAGTGGGTCAAGCCTCTGCCTTCGGCTCAGGTCATGATCTCAGGGTCCTGGGATCGAGCCCCGCATCGGGCTCTCTGCTCAGCGGGGAGCCTGCTTCCCCCCACCGCCCCCGGCTCTGCCTGCCTCTCTGCCTGCTTGTGATCTCTGCCTGTCAAATAAATAAATAAAATCTTTAAAAAAAATAAAAGTAGGATTCCATTACACATCCCCATACACCGTTCACTTTTTCCTTTAATATCATGTCATAGATCACTTTCCAAATACATATGTAAAACGTTAGTTGCCAACAGGCCTGAGGTCTGAGCGGGCATGTCTGCGGGACTCTCCTATCCCAACCCTGACGGTGCCTGGAGCACAGTGGCCCGTGCACGGCCGCCCACCTGTACCAGAGCAGTGCCCACAGGCACGTGCTTGGCTCAAGGAGGCTCGCTGCGGAAGGCGCCGGTGTGGGACATGGTGCGACGTCCAGAACGTGAGGACAGATTCGGCCCACACGCCCACCAACACACAGTCTCACCGGCATCTACAAACTTGGCTCACGTGACGGCAAAACGACCTCCTGCTTCGTTGGCAACGTTTAAGTCATCGGCGCTGCTCAGAGTCAGGCACGTGTGCGCTTTCGCGGCAGCGCTCTGGCCCGTGTTCTAGGCACGCCCCCCTTCTTGTGTTCAGGGTAGCAATCCACTGAGAACTCCCAAGTTGGTGTTACAGACTAGATGATGGATAACTGATAGAGCAGATAAGAGACACCTTTTCAACTGGAAACACCACGAAGCTGCTAGTGCCATCTGTCATCGATGGGCAAGGACTGGCGTGCGGTCCTGCCTTCTCCAAAACGTGTCCCAGCACAGAGCAGCCATGTCCCTGCACTTGGGAGCTGAGGCTGCCCAGGGAGGCGGTGACATCTGTCTGGGGCAGGAGGGCGGACGTGGGGTGTCAGCGCAGCGGGCACCCCTCTGCTGAGGGCCCCCACCCCAGGGCACACCGACATGGTCATCCGGACAGCCCCACCCCCGTCCCGGGTCAACAGGAAAGTCCGTGCTTGTCTCTTCGAGGCTGAGGAGTCGGAAGCATGTTCCCAGAGAGGAGGGAAACCAAGGCACTCTCCCATCCCCTCTCCATGTGCTGGGCCAGACAATGTCTCCTTTCTGGGGAACTCAGAGGGGGGCCCAGCCACTGCCTCCCCTTCCTTCCCATTAGCGCCATAACCTGGGGTCTCTCTCCACACAGGCCCCGCTTTGTCCCCAGCCGAGGTCAGCAGCAGTCAGATGCATGACTCATGCCCCACTCGCAGCCTTAGGGCTCCAGAACCCTCCTTCCAAATAAAGAAAAAAGCAGCCCCAGGACTTGGCTTGCCTTAAACACTGCTGTGTGACAGGAGAAGATTAATGCGTGCGGTAGCATCCGCTTGGAGGCCGTCGGAGGGCGGCCAGAGTGACAGGCTCTTTCCCTCGGTAATTGC